AAAAAAAATACTTCTATTTTTTAAATAAAAAATAATGTGAAAATAAGAAAAAAGGGTGAGATCTGGTTGAATCAAACAAACGAAAGAACCTATCACCTGGAGGATGGAGTCTCAAACCCCTTGGGATGCTCTAAGGTCTTCACAGATTTGCAAACTCTAAATTGCGTAAGGAAGTATAAGGAAAGCCTCTATTTGTATGGCATTGGCAGAGACGAACAACCAAATTTTATTCCCTAATTGTCAAGGGAAGCACCACCATAGGCGCATAAACACCAACAATATCCACACATTTGAAATTCCATGCTTTTAAATATTACCATTATCTTCGCTTTCCATTCATAGCCTCAAGATCCTAGTTTTTTTTAGCTCAACTCAGGATTCTAGCTTTTTTACTTTATTTAACTTTGCTAACTCATAATTGGTTTAGTAATAATATACCGTTATGACGTTCACTCATATCCAAATATTAAGAGAAGAAAATGAATGCCCTCCTAGTCACCAAAATTACCTACCAACGTATTCCTATTATTCATTATTCTCTGTATCTATAAGTACTAATTTTTAAATAATACATTTTTTAAAATAAGAGCATTTTTAAGGAGTTAATTTTTCTTTTTAAATCATTTTAAATTAATTTTATTTTGTAAATTATATATTTATTACTTAGTTTACATCATTTGTGATAAATTCAGACATTTCATATTACGTCAATTTTCGTATGTTCTTAATCAGAATGTATATTCTCATTAAGGAAAATAATTTTATAAAATCTTACAAGAAATTGACACATTGTATTATATTATAGTCTTTTGGAAGAAATAAAAACTGTTAAAAAATGATAAATCTTACCTAATAATTTCTAGATTTATTTGGACAAACGTTGTAAAAATATTGTTCAAGCACTCCCTCTTTATCTTTCTTTTTTTCCAATTTTTCTTGGCACATGCACTACCTCTTTTTTACTTCTTGTTTAATTATTTCAAATTTTCATATTTGAATCACCTGATGACCGGTAACATGCTAATACTTAATTATTAGCATAAGTTTTGGAGGTGTATAACATTTTTGTATTCTCTTCCAACGAAGAGCATTAATGAGTAAATCATTTAATTTCTTTTTAAAAATCGTATTAAATGAATTTATCTAACTTTAATCTCTCCTTAACAGTTTTAGTCTCATCATTTACGGCATTTTTGTCATGAAACAAGAATAATTGTAATTTAATTTACTTTAAATAAACCTGAAAATGTAAACTAGTCTTAATAAGTAATCTGTTTCAATTGTATGGTTAATTTTAAATTTAAATAAAATTTATAAATTAATTAAAAAAATAATTTTTTTTGTTATTCTTAATATTTTTTGTGAATAAAGAATTAATAAAATTTTAATTTTAAATATAAAGAAGAATCTGTGTAATAAACTTTAGAAAACGATACACTTATTTATCCGTATGCTATGTCAAAACTTAAAAATTTGCATTCAAAATAGAATTGATTTAGAGTACAATAAAATTAAAATTCAGTTCATCTAAAAGAATGTATTTAATTTCACAGTGTATGAAGATTTAAATTTTAAATCAATTTAAAATCAAGAAATTATATTAAAAGAGAATTATAAATAAAATTAAATATTTAGTTAGTGGAAGAAAAATTACATGACCTAATAAAAATGAAAATAGGTTAAATTTTTTATTAAAAAAACAATTACTCCAAAATTAAGAAAAAGATGTTAGCACATATGTTATATAAGTAATACGACTCTAAATTAATTTCCAAATTATATAAAATTATTACTCCAATACTTATTTAAGTTATAACCAATAAAAAAGTTGAACAAAAATAATTTTGAAGAAAAAAATAGCTTAAGATTATATAATTATTTTTATTTTATCTTTTTATTATTATCTCTCATATCAATTAAATGGTTAACCTCATTGGTATATCATTTCTCATTTTATTCTATTTCTTTATTTCTCTTCAAAAGAGTAGGTGTTGTTATAGTTTTTTTTTTTTTTTGCCAAACTAATTCAAAATATAAGACATCCCTCTTTATAATAGGTCCTTCTCAATTGTCATCCTAATTTCATGGTGAGTAAAAGTTGAATTAAAGTATTTTTCAACATATTATCACAAATAAATACACACCAGCATAAATATATATTAACATAACTTATCCATAAAAGCATTATATCCATATTTCCTGAATAGTTATTATAAACCACATAAGTATTTCTTAAATTATTTAAATATTATACATAATAAAAGAAAGTAGCTAGAGAAAATATCAACACATTAATAGATAAGCAAACAAGGCTTCTCCTCTCCATATGATTCTTTCCTCAATCATTCAATCTATTTAGAGGAGGATCATCATCAAGTCCTAAATAAACAACTGCAAAGTAAAGAGAAAAAGACACCTTCACTTTAGCTTCTCTTTGTATAAGCACTAGGTTGATATAGAGGTTATTAATAACAATTATAGCTAAAATAATAAAACCTATAAATATGATGGTTTCGCCGGAGTTATGAGAACTTCATTTTCTCACTCCCATACTAAAGGTCAAGGTTTGCGTAGGATGTTTGGTGCATCTCCATTCATTATGCATCCATAGACATATATTGAACATATCACAAAAACAGAAAAGGGTGGGCATGAACATTCATAAACAATTATACTAGGCAATACTTATCCTTGAATAAAACAAATCAAAATCAAATAATCTCAAAAATCAATCAATCAATTCAAGGTTTTTGTTGTAAATTATCCATCGAGTTGAGATTAGGAGTTCTGTGTCTATAATTCGGCTAGTGTCATAGGTACATCTTTTTTCTTTATTGAAGATAGAACAAAAGTGCACAGTTTTATTTTATGATCACTAATACAGTAGCCCACACTCAAACCAATCTTGATATACTCTAGTGTTTGTCAAGATAAACAAACAAAGTTTCTACTGTTTATGACACAAGTTAGGCATGCTTGGTTCTCTGTAAGTCTTGAGTATTCTCTTATCCCCTATGGTCAAATCATGGCGTATTCAACCTTTTTCACATTCACAAATCACAAATATAACAAAATCATAGTCGTCATTTGTCCAACAAGTATATTATCACATTCCTATGTCAAGAGAACAATCAATCACATAGACATGACTAAAATTAGAGTTTTCCAAATTTCATGTACTAACTTGTAAAATTCATAACTAAATTAATACAAGTCTAAAAATTATGAAATCACTAGAGTTTTCTTTCTTTAAGTGTCTAATATAATAAAAAGATACAAACAAAATTCAAACACTTCTAGAGAGTTACAATAAGTCTTAGTTTCTCTTTTCTATTCACAAATTATCTTGCTTAACATCCAACATATTGAAAATAACAAATTCATTTCTGATCCAAAATACATGAAACCAGTGAAATTATTCTCCTTAGTGTGTCTATTTTCAAATAAAAATGCTTTCAAACTACAAATACTCACACAAATCATTTTGAGATTTATGTTTTAACTATATGTCATAGACTATCACGTTTCAGTAACAACATAATGGGAAAATCATACATCATGCAATTAAATATCAAAATTCATGACATCAGTGGCATTATTTCTCTTCAAACATCTAGTTCCACAATAAACCCCACACAACACAAATAAAATTATATACCCAACATATGGAGAGAATAAATTTCAAAAATAAAAACATACCTTATAGCCTTGATATATATTTAATTTTACTTCAAATTTCTAAACTTTTGCCAAACAAACCGTTTATAGTATGAAACTTTTTACTTTATAAATAGATTTTTTGCTTTCAATATCTCAAATTCCCTCCAAAACATAGTCATGGTTTCTCTCTCTTAAATGTGTTTCAAGTAATTACTATCTTCACGTGTGACAATGACTTTCAATTCAAGTCTTCTATTTTTAGAGTCCATGTAGGATTAATAAATGATGTTAAGGTCATTTCAGTGTCACATAGGACATCTATGTTAAGTTATGTAACAGAGCTAACGAAAAGGATTAACATAAGAAAAAAAAACTTCAAAGATGACATTGAACCAAAAAAAAGTTAAAGAACTAGAACGAATTTTACTCTTAAGTTAAGGGATGAAAAAACTAATTTTACCTATATAATATAAATTTATTAAATAAATATTTATTTATAAAATTTACTTAAATAAATAAATTTTTTGGAAATCAATTTGTAAAAGTATTTGCACAAAGTATTTAGTTGTAAATTTACTTACATTTTTTTTCCTGCGAAACATCTGCAAACAGGCTAACTAGAGATTTACGTATGGTTTTATTTTATTTTATTTTCTTGCCTATTTTCCATAAGAACATTACCTGCAGATTTTCCCCATCAAAATTCGTAGGGAAGTTTTAATTAAAAAAATTTGCTGCCAAAAGAACAAGTATTTTGTTGCAAAATAAATTGCAAAAATAATTTCCTACGAATTAAAATTTTTGCAGCAAAAGTTATTCATGAAGCTTTTTCCTTCAACACGAATTCCTTAGAAAATCTATCGGAAATGTGTTTTCGTGCTGATTTTTTTTTTCAGTTTTTTGTAGAAAATCCTGCAGGTAATAAATAAAATTCTAGTAGAAGATTAAATATACTTTTAGTCCATTAAATTATAAAAATCATATGCTTTGAATTCCTAACGAGGAAAAAAATCATAACAACTATAAAATTACAGAATAAAAATATATTTAAACTTAATTTAGTATTAACAATTAGTGTTTACGTATTTTTAATGGCATAAATTAATTACCCATTTTCTGACGCCAAACTAAATGATATTTTATATAAATATTTTACGAATTAATAAAATAAAATAATCCTGGGAGATTATTGGAAATAAAAATGGATATATAAAGTACAGATTATTATATACAATATGAACATGGACGTTCACACATTATTACTTGTATTGTATATACATAGGCGGAGACCTAAAGGCAGGGTATATATTACAGTGATGGAAGCATGTGAAAGGACTTACTCATATATGGAACATTTGAGACATATAAATTCCTAAGGAAAATGCTAAAGCAGCCGTCATAACAACTCCCCTGTTTCTCCTCAAAATGTCCATTGCAGTGTTTGACGCGTCAGAATAATATTCTTGGTCCCAGTTCCTTGTTAATTCATTGCATAAACGCCCTATGTACTGTGCATTTTCATTTTCTGTTCCTCCATTCTCTCTATCCCTGTCGTGTTGACCACGAGGCCTCATCTCATTATCAGCATTCCCATTTGAAGCTTTCTCTATGTGATTTCCTTGTGAAATTCGCTTTGGGACATCCACGTAAAGGATTTGGTTATCAAACTTTCCGGTTATCTTGTCCACATCTGAATCTGTTGGCACTGCAAAGGTTTCCTCGAACTGAACACGCTTTTGTTCATTTAATTGCCTTTCTCCTCGTACCTTTATACGGCCAGCGGAGCCATCAACCTGAAGCTTCACGTCTTCCTTCTTGAACTCTTAAGTAAGATGACAAAGAGCTCCATCAGTTATTCTTGTTTTCTTGCCTCTTTCAATTTTTTGTTAGAATAATATGTATAACAAGTCTTTGGGACATAGTTCTGAGCTAGGTATATAAATGGAGCATTCATAAATTGCTTCAATTAGACGATAAAGGATAACTAAACAAAAAAGAAATGCTTTTTTGGTATTCACATTTTTTTTTCTTTTCATTTTAGTGTTCACAAGTTGTTCAGGTGCATGATTTTATATAATTTTGCTAATTTCAATTTTTAAATTGAATTTAAACCTATAATTTTAGAAATTATTACTTTCAAATACTTAAATTCAATATTAAAAGTTAAAAATAATTTAATTATTTTTAAATTGTAGTGCATAACCATAATTGTGGATATTATTACTCTTTTTGATATATATACAAGACTATTAACGTATTTAGATTCATGTTTAAAATTATGTAAACTTTTCCTTTAGTAGCGATTGGTTCAGAAACAGAGATACTTGGACAGAGACATGAAGGCACGAACTTGCATTGTTAGCTTGGAAGGCACGTTGATTCATCATTATGATTTAACATCTCTAATTCAAAGCCAAATGTGAAACTTTTGTTTCATTCGGCTCCTTTATGGAAGAAATTAAGAGGTGAAAGACATGAAAAAAAAAATTAACCCAAATAATGTTTGGCTAGTGTACCTTTTAGAAGAAGAGACACGAAGGACACAAATTTATTAAAGAGATAGAGACATGAAAAGACACGAAGGACACAAATTCGAAAGACATTAGTGTACCTCCTAGAAGAAGAGACACTAGTGTCCTAGGACACGAAGTTATACATTTGAAAATCAAAATACTCTTGATAATCATACAAAATTACATACCCTATTCTTAACTCTCATTTTTTGTATTGTCTCTTACATTTAAACATAATACAAGACGCAATACCATAATATTCTATTCTTGCTTCCAAACACAATACATAGATATAAACATTAGTGTTTCTGTCCTTCATTTCTTTAAACCAAATGCTATCATAATCTTAAATGTAACTTTATGTTTATTTGGACGAGAGGAAAGGAAATAGAGAAAACAAAATGAACGATAATGTATATTTTTTTTATTTAGTTGAAAAGAAAATAAACTAACTTTTAAATCTATAATCCAAAATTTTCTTTCCTCCAATTTTTTCCATGTTTCAATTTTTTTGTCTCTCATTTTCTTTCCTAAACGACAGAGTGCATGCAATTTCTGTAATCAGTATTAGCTATAACCTTGATCATAACGACTATTTAAAACCATAAGGTGTTTGATGCAATACCTGGAAGATCTATAAGAAGACAGTGCCTTACGGTGTCCTCAATCCATCCAGAATTAGGTACCATATGTTCAACCATTGGTGCTGGTGATAAACTTGTTAACGGTTTTGTTCCAACCCATCTTTTACTAGTGGCCATTGAAAATGAATTGAATTAGCAAGTAACAAATAATATATATCTCCAAAGTCCAAACAAGTTTGTTCGTATATATGGATTAGCCTTATTTATGAGCTATTATATATACAATTGCAAGCTCTGATTTCCATATTCCCTTATATGATGAATTTGGATGGTTTGCTTTCCATGCTTCAACATTCTTATTCCATACTTGTACAACAAGACCGTGTAAGTTTGGATGGTGGAGGGACCAAACGAAGTAGGTAGTTTTCTAACATATGGAAAAGTAATTCCTTGCTTTGCTTATTTCTAGGCCCTCGAACTCTTTGGTTGCACTTTGCTGAATATTGGGTTATTCTTAACCAAAGGGTTGCCTGCGTAAAATTTGATTTAATTTGTAAATAAAATACCCTCTAAGAGTGGATGTTTTCGTTTAAGCTAAACCTTTTGCAAGGATAATTATGCAATATTAAATTTAAACATAAGTAAACATTATTAAATCTTATGTGACTTTCTTTTTGGTGAAATCTCACATGACTGTTTTATATTTCTTTATGTATTTACACAATTGTTTATATATATATATATATATATATATATAAACACCTCTCGTACTTTTTTTTCTTCCTTCTTTTTCTCATAAAATTAAAAAAGATGAAGTGGGTGATGTAAAGTGAATATAAAACATAAAACACGACACTAAACAAAATAACAGTGATGAAATTTTACAAAACATACTCAACACGACACTAAAAGCACATCATTCCTTCCTTAGGCATCTTCAATTGGAGATGCTTAAATAATTTTTTTCACATAAACAACTGCAAATTATTTAAATTTATCTCTAAAACGATGTGACTGTCATTTTAAATAAAGAATCGTTTCTTATTTAAGTAATAGTTGTTTAAATAAAGAATCGTTTCTATACCTACCAGAATGTGTCCTAATGTTCGCATTATTAATCAAGACCCAAATTTTTGTGTGCTAAGTATAACAATTTTGACAAGTAATGTTGTTCTCTTATTAGAGTACTTCTGGTACTCTTCAAACAAAGCTCTTTTGTTTTGTATGATGATAAAATAATAATAATAAAAGAAACTAACGAATACGTGAATCTAAATATTTGATTTATCAAATATCTTCTCTAATAACAGTTGGTAAATTTGGAATGTGGAAGCAACCACCATTTGTGCCATCCAGTGATTTTAACAAGAGAAATATGGTGTGACTTACACTCTTTTAGGGTTACACTCCATTTATATCCAGTAAACAATTTGTATTTTCAAGTTCAACTTAAGTTTTGGAGTTACAGTTCTTTTGTCTTTTTGTCTACTTTTCAAATTTTTTTCATCACATCTCTTATATATTTATAATTTATCTTCCTTCTTATTTACTGTTCTTATTTGAAGTGTAAATACTCAAAATATGTCATAATAATGAAATAAAGAAATAAAGAAATTAATAGACTAACTTCTAAGTGACAAACAATTTGATATTACTTAAATAAAGTCTCAATTTAAGTTTTTATATATAAAAAAAAATATTAATAATAAATTTTATGTGCGTGACCTAGATCGAATCTAGATTAAATCAAATAAAAAAAAATACAATACCATTAAAAAAGCTACTTACACCGTTTAGACAATACTAATATATAAGTAACTAATGCTCTCACGTTTTAAAGGAGTACTGTTACAGCCACTACCAATCTGTATTGGAAGCAGTGGATGGAGAGAAACTCAAGACTTAGGAGGAACGCTTAACAATTATTGGTTCCCCTCCGATCACACCATAACCTTCTATGAGCTATCGTCATCACATATATAAATAGAAAAAACTCTGGAAAGAATTCAAGTCATATATAATCCAATCCTAATAGAAAAAAGTAAGTGACACATAATTCTAAAATTCTTAAACAGATTTAAATCTTATTACCACCATCATAAGAATTATAATTACTTTCATCTTCAGTTTTCATGATTAAATTATTTTTTAAACATAAGATGTAATTCCAATGCTCCGCACGGAAAACAAAACCAAAAACGATCTAATTCCAATGCAAATAATAATAATAATAATTATAATTTATACACACAAACAAATAAAAAATGGAGAATTATGAATGACAGGAACAAAATACAGCAAACATCAATGCCGGAGACAGGGTTTATTATATATAAATTAATGTAAAATATTACGTGTATGAATGTATGGCTCGCATGGATGTTGTAAAGGTAAATCAATACGCGGGATGGAGAATTTGGTATGTGATGAAGGATATGCAGAAAAGCTATTAAAACTATTATTTTAATAAACCCTAAACCCTAATGCGAAGCAAGGTGGGATTCAGATCCTCTCATGTTGTGGCGGGAACATGACTCTCATATTCAAATTCGCTTAAGCGAATTTTGAATGGCTTAACGAATTCAAAATAGCTTAAGCGAATTCAAAATGGTTTAAGCGAATTATGTAAAAAAAAGATAAATTATGTAGAAACTAACAATATGTTATTAAAGGATAAAATTTATACAAAATTTATTATCAAAGTTAATTCTACTCATCCAGAAACATTTAACTGTAACAGCAAAACATGAATAAAAGTTTCATTTTATTTCATTTCATTAATGGTACACAATTATTCACAATGAAATTTACAAAAAAAAAAAATTCATTAATACATAGACAAGTCAAAAATAAAAGAAGCCGAGGCATTTTATTTCATTTCATTCATATCAAATATCATCCGAGAATAAATGAGAGAGAATGAAAATAACGAAGAAGTTGAGACATTCTATTCCTCTCTCATTTATTCCCAGATGATATTTGATATGAATGGAATAGAATAGAATGCCTCAACTTTTTTTATTTTTTACTTGTCTATGTATTGATGAATTTTTTTTGATAAATTTCATTGTGAATAATTGTGTACCATTAATGGAATGGAATAAAATGAAGTTTTTATTCATGTTTTGCTGTTACAATTAAATGTTTCTAGATGAGTAAAATTAATTTTGATAATAAATTTTGTAAAATTTTATCCTTCGATAATATGCTATTAGTTTCTACATATTTTTTTTTTTTGCATAATTCGCTTAAGCCATTTTAAATTCACTTAAACTATTTTAAATTTACTTAAGCCATTTAAAATTCGCTTAAGTGAATTTGAACATGAGGGTCATGTTCCAGCCACAACATGAGAGGATCCGAATCTCAAATATTCTAGTTTGACTTCTACTAGCAAGTGGATCTTTCATTGACAAGTTATAAAAACAGTAAATCATTGTTATGATTTGTTGCATATTCCGATCTTAAAATAAGGCAATTACATCAACCCTTTTCCTTTTTTATTTGAAAAAGAAAATGCAATTGACGACTTCTGCTTTTGATTAATAAGAAATGCATGTTATCTATACTTTTGTGTCTTGTCTTACTACTTTTGATTAATTGCTGAGATACCCTGCTCGTAAACTATTACTATTGTATCTATTATGTATTTAATTCTAAAATTTACTTATTATTATTATTATTATTATTATTATTATTATTATTATTATATATTTATAATTATTAAAATTTAAAATATTACTCATATATAATATTTTGTGACGTGAACAACGCAATATATATATAAAATAATAAACATGAGCTCATATTAAAAATAGAAATAATAAATTGACTATAAAATTATATTTAATAAAACTTTATTGAAATTAATTATTATATTCTATATAATTTACAAATTTAAATCATATCACTACTAATTAAATTGGGAAGGGAGAAGGAGAGAACGAAGATAATGGAGAAGGAAAGATGGTTTGATTAAAAATGAAGTTTTTAAGAAGAAAGTTTTATAAATATCTCTCAAACTCGTGACTTTCTCGCTATAACGAAAAACCTAGACATAATTTTACATTTATTGTCTGTCATTCTAGCTACAATGAGAGATTCTCGCTACAACGAAAAATTCTAACTACAACGAGAATGTTGTTGAGTTATTCTTATCCACTTCCAGCGAATATAACGAAATATCATGCACAAACAACTACAGGGATAAAAATTCTAACTACAATGAGATATCATGCAGTTCACATCAATTAAACATTGTTAATTTCAAATAACATGCACAAATAACTAAAATAAATTGCAATAATAATAAATAATAAAATGAGGGTGTTACAAATATAACGAAAGTGCATCATAAAACTTTGGTATTTGTGTGATGTGTGTTAAAACCAAAATAGGAAGAGGATGATAGATGAAGTTTAATTCCCATTTTTATCCTAGTACTTTAATTTTACATTTTATTATCTTGCCTTTTAATTTCAATGAGCTCATATATCAAAAAACCCAAATTTCATTTAATTGTACAATTGTGAATATTTAGGAATTTTTTAATTTTAAATTGGGTAGTTGAAATTGTTTAAATGTTCCCATTTCTTATGGATATAATAACCATTTATATTACATCAAAAGTTTGGACACTTATCAAATCCTTAAGAAATAGTTGTAAGACATTTTAAATATATATTAAAACATAGTTAATTAATAGTGATATGATACTTATTGATGAAAAGGTATTAATATTTTTATTTTTTTTATTAAATTTTATTATTTTAACAAATCCTAGTTATATTGTCTTTTAAATGTTATGATATACTAATTAACGTCTAATTGGTTTATTTTTAAATTTTTAATTATTTTTTTATTTTTAAAGAAATTATATATGTTTTTAATAGGAAAGAGTATTGCTCGTTAGTTTAAAGTATATTAAAGGAAAAAAAATATAGACTATAAAAAATATTTCAATGTCAAATAATAAAGATAAATTTGGTATGATTAAAAAATAATCCTTTAATATTATAATTTTATGTTATAGTTATTATGAAGGAACTAGGCAATGATAATAATATGATTTCTTATTATATTTTTTAGATTGTACACTTTGAACATTTGAAAAATTCTTGTAAAAATAATGTTTTAATGTTCATAGGTAAGTGTATATGTTAAAAAGTAATAAAAATGATTCTCAAATTGAATTTTTAGAATATTGTTCTATAAAGATTATTTTCAATTATTAAAACTATTATGATTTAATTATTTAAACCTAAATAGTATGTAAGAGAAATTTATAAAAATGTAAACCAAGAAGAATAATTAAATGAAAAGAAAACATCACAACTTTTAATATGAAACTATTCTGTAATGAAATTAGGCCTTGTGATTTATCTTTACACTTCTTTATGTTTATTTTTTTTAATTCTAATTTTAATTTTTCTATGATTGCCAACCACTCATACTAATACTACTAACACCATTGGTCATGCAATTTTAGCAATTTTTTTTCTAAGTTATTATTCTTCAATAGTCATGTAAGACAAAAAGATAAGGAAAACATAGAGATGAAACGTGGTTGAAAGAGATAAAAAAATGGAGAAATCATAATAAAGTGTAAAATTATTTTTTAAACGTTACTTTCTATGTCGATATAAATTATAGTTGTCAAAATCTATATTTAATCATGTTGAATTGTATTATTGTATTGTTTAAAGTAACATCAATAAAAAAAATATTATTCATGAGGAGAATGAAAAATATATAGAATATAAAAAATATTCTATATAAAAAAATATTTTATAATCCTTTTTAATGCAATTATATTTGATATTATTTAATATAAGAAAAAATTATTATCATTATTTTTTTATATTTAAATTGTAATTTTTTTTATTTTAAAATAAAATAATTTAATAAATAAATAAATAAACCCGTGCGATGCATATTTACTAGTATAATAAGTATGTTAAGCAACATTCTGTACATATACATAAATAACGTAAAATTTAATTTCCTAGACAAATAATTAAGTGCTTTTCACAAGTGCTGAGTGTGTTTGGATTAGTTAAAAAAATACACTATTTTAACAATTAATCATTATCTATAATCTTTCAATATAACAATGATTATATAACATAAGTTTTGTGATCGAATATATTAGATGAAAATTGATTTTAAAACAATCTATTATGTAGAAGTTAGTTTTGTATTTAAAATAATTAATTATTAAAAATAAAGTGAACTAAACGATAAGATAACAATTTTTAGTCAAAAACACTAAAATTTTGCTTATCTGAATTAAGTTATTTCCTTCGTAAAAAAATTAAAGATTATACACTATATTTTGTACATTTATTAAACAAGAATGAATAATATTTTTTTTAAAACATTTTTCTCATAATCATCAATAATAATATCTTTCAAACACACCAAAATATTCCAAAGTTGGAGAAAGAAACACATCAATAATAATACCTTTTTTTCTATAGGATTTGAAGTTTTAAATATTCCTACGGTATTGTCTAAGAGGCTTCAAATTAATCACAAGCGAATATATAGCGGATAGCGAAATCAACGCAGATTCGCTTGGCAATTGGTATGTTCATGCAAACAAAGATATAGCAACGAGAGAATCTCAGTACCATATACATTTGGCTTAGCACAAACTACGGGAGTGCTTAAAATGCTAACAAGCTAAATATATAGGTGAAAAAACACAATAAAAACGTAAGTTTATAGGCACTCAATTAAAGATCTTCAAAGAGAAAGAAACGACATTAATGGAAGCTAACAAGTTCAGTTTGCTCTTTTTTTATATATTTTATTTTGCCATATTCCCTACCCTTAAGGCCAACATAGGCCACTTCGACAAAGTGTGGTATAAGCGATCTCAGGAAGCGAAGAAGACCGCTCAACATGCTTTCAAGTCTAACCCTGAGAAAGTTACGGTTGATTTTAATATGCACGTCAGCAAGTATGTACTTTGTTTGATTCCTTCTTAATTGGTTGTAGAAATATAGTTTTAATCTACAAATACATAGTTTTTCTTTTCCTCGTGCATGAATTCAAGCTTGGTCTGTCTTTTGTATTGTTCTGCAAAGCCAATAATTTTCCTTTTGTATATTCATTGATGAGGACAGATTTAATCACCTCTTCCCTCTTGTCCAATAGAAAAATGACATATCATTGAAAAATAACATTCTCTCTCCTATTGTCATAATTTTGTTTGAGGCCAAGAAAGGAATTGAGATATGTGATTTGGAATTGATTGATGGAATAAATATGAAAAAATAAAATTTTGTTGAATAAGTGTTTCAATAACATTTTTTACATCAATGTTTTAAATTTGTGTTCCACACTTGCAATGTTAAGGTTTTATTCTTTTTTTTTTTAGTTTTCAGTAATTGCATCGCAAGTGTAATATAATTAATTGTTTGCTCCCAACTTTAAAGAGCATAATATAACTGCAATTGCAGGTATAATTAAAACAATGTACACAAAATTAAAGTTTTTCTCTATTATATTTCTCTGATAATCTGATCTTTCTGGCACTTCTCTTCTAATCTCGTTCCTTGAAGTAGAAATTATTGTGAAAAGAAAAATGTTGAAATAACGGTACTCATTTTTGTCATATTTAATTGTGACTGAATAGTGCTCTGAAAGGCACCAACAACACAAGAAGGGGCTTAGCGAAATACAATGGTCCATGCAAGGTCACAAACCCCATTGACGGATGCTGGAGATGCGATCCAAATTGGGCAAACAATCGCAAGAAGCTAGCAAGTTGCGCCATTGGGTTTGGCCACGGCACAACCGGAGGCAAAGATGGCAAATTCTATGTGGTTACGGACCCATCTGACAATGACCTCGTGAACCCAAAACGTGGGACCTTAAGACATGCTGCGATTCAAGAAGAGCCATTGTGGATCATTTTTGCACGAAGCATGAACATTAAACTCAACGGGGAACTTCTATTGACGGATAACAAGACCATAGATGCACGTGGTGCCAATGTTCACATTAGCAATGGTGCCCAAATCACATTGCAATTTGTGAAAAATATTATAATTCATGGGTTACACATCCATGACATTAAGAAAGGTGGTGGTGGCCTCATTAGAGACTCCGTGAAACACTTTGGATTACGCACCGTGAGTGACGGTGATGGGATTTCCTTGTTTGGAGCCACACATGTTTGGTTAGATCATCTTTCTATGACGCATTGTGATGATGGCCTAATTGACGTCATCATGGGATCAACAGCTATTACCATCTCCAATAGCCATTTTACCAATCACAACGATGTAATCGTTTCTACTTTCTACTTCTCACCTCTATACACATATCTTAATGGGTTTTATTAATGTCCATACAAAAATTATAACTTTTAATAACTTAAAATCAATTTTAAAAATTTGTGTATATGATGGATGGATACTTCTAATTACTATGATGTCATTATATCATGTCTAATATCTATCTGTGGTAGACATATAGTTTTAATTAAATTTTATAATTTTCTTACCTTTAAAATGTTTTTATACAAATATAAATTAAAATGTTATAATAATTAAAAATTTGTATTATATTAAATTTATAATGACGCAGACTCAGTTTTAATAATATGAATTCTGTTTTATGATTTAAAATTTTTATTGTGTTAATTTTATTTGTTGCATTATTACAACGTCACTTCCAATTATTCTTAAATTTTTGCTTACCCCCTTATCTTATGTGTTTCATGTTGTGGTATTATTAACACTAATCATTGATTTTGCCATCCAGGTTATGTTATTTGGTGCCAATGATGGCTTCTCGGGTGATAAAGTTATGCAAGTGACTCTAGCTTTCAACCATTTTGGGAAAGGGTTGGTTCAGAGGATGCCAAGGTGCAGATGGGGCTTCTTTCATATTGTTAATAATGACTACACTCATTGGCTCATGTATGCCATTGGTGGTAGCCAACAACCCACTATCATAAGCCAGGGAAACCGATTTGTTGCACCTCAAAACCCAGCAGCAAAAGAAGTATGCAGTGAAAAAAAAAATTGCTTCATTTAATTAGCCTATCAATGTCTAGAAAATAGGTTCTTGTACGCTTCTGGTTCAAATTGGAAATGAAGAAAAGCTAATAAACCTTGCATATTCTTATGTATTATGTAGGTGACAAAAAGGGACCGTGCACCTGAAAGTGTGTGGAAGACATGGAATTGGAGATCAGAGGGTGATTTAATGATGAATGGAGCCTTCTTTATTCAGTCTGGGAAAAAGGTTGCAAACCTTCCCAAGATAGGCATCCAAGCAAAGCCTGCTAAATTTGTATCCAGTCTCACTCGCTTTGCAGGTTCTCTAAAATGTGAAGTAAAGAAGCCATGTTAAACCAAGCACAGAGCTATGCACATTAAAATAGAAAGAGGTTGTAAAATAAGTCAAGTATGTATCAGACCCGAAGCAAATGCTTCTGTGGTTTTTAAATTTCTCTTTTCTGCCCTTTTCCCTTGGATTATAACTTGAGGGATTGGAGGCGTACAGAATAGAACTTAGATGTGCATAGAAAGTAAAACCAAGCAGTTTTTGGCAGGGCATGTGTGCCGTTAACAGTCCTATTGATTCATAGTAAATTGACCATTCCTCTTCTAAAGAGTTCCACTTTATAAATTGCGAGGCTAACTATCATATATGCTGATATAATCAATTAAGCTAATTATCAAGGTTCAAATCTTTGAAATTTAAGCTCTTCTCCTAATTCTTTTTAACTTGTTAACTTATTTCCTTGATCAAACTAGTAATTGATTTGTTATTTCATTTAGCCAAAGGTTGATCATTTAGAATGTGAGATCAAATCCGTCATTTTCAAGAAGTACTAGTTTATTTTCTTTTTCTTCTTTCTCCTATTCAATGAAGAAATATTGAAATCAAAATCACTAAAAACTAAATTTCTAATTATCTTCGTCAAAACTAATGTTAAAGACTCTTTGGAATATCATTTTCTGCACTCTTTTTCATTGAACCTTAAGTTTCAACCTACTACGATTTTTTGATGAGTCATGAAGTTAGTGTGAATGCCCAATAAAAATCTTTTTGTGCTCCTATGATTGGAGATTTTGCAAATTATGAGTTGTTACGACGAGAGAACTAGTAGGACCATATTTATGAGTTGTTACTTATGAGTTTTTAAATTTTTTTTTGTGCTTCTAACAAAATAAAAACAAGGAAACCACAAAAAAACTCTTTCATAAGAGCTTATTTGACAACTTGAAGCACTATAACTAATACAAAGTATGGAAGATAAGCTCTAGGGTTAAGGATTGATGTAGGACCATATTTCTTCCTTCTCTTCTATTTTATTATAATCACAAACCTTATTTTAATAGGATAAAATGCAACCAATAATGATTTGAAATGAATAAGAAAATAATCTTGCTTTGAAAACTCGAATGGTAGTAAACACAAATGAGCTAATTGATCATGTAAAGTTGATTACCTTCCTCTATTTTGATGGGACGCATCTAATTGACTATTAGCCCTCTTTGTTTTGCTTAGAAACACTTTATAGAGAGGATTTATCAATTTGGTTAAGGCTCTAATTAATTAAGTTCATTAAGTTTACCAAAATCCAAGTGATAAGTTTGTAATTAGACTCTCTTTTACTGTCCATATATTTATATTTGTCCTTTATTTTATTTGAATTTTACATTAATTTCTATATTAATTATGCAATTTAGTATAAAGAGACCACAAGTGGATTTTGGGTCCGTTTTTTACCCAAACTAATAGAAAATTAGGACTTCGCAGTAGTCAACAACATATGAGTGTAGTTTAGTATAAAGAGGCCACAAGTAAATTTTGAGTGCATTTTAGGCCCAAACTGATAGAAAATTAGGACTTCGTAGCAGTCAGCAAATACATGAGTGCTTCGAGCCCAATTAATAAAGAACTTTTAGGGTTTGAAAACCCTATTAAAGAGAGACTTCAGACACCAAGTTGAACATCTTGGCTTTTATTCTTTGATACATCTCTCGTTTCTCTTGCATGAGATTTTTGGCATATCTTGGTAGGACTTGGAGCTTCAAGCAATCACACTTGAAGACCGAGAACTCATCTCATTCTAGTTTGTTTTTCTCTATGACTTTGTTTACCAATTGTTTTAGTTCTTCTATTTAGCATGAGTAACTAAGTCCATAGCTAGAGCTATGAGAACTATTGTTCATGAATTTATAAAATTTTGAAGTTTAAATCTATATTTGGTTTCCATTTGTGATTAGCTTTTATCTTATTGCACATAATTATAATCTTAATTAATTATATCATTAGGAGATCTTACCTCAATTAGTTAATGGATCTATAGGATAAAACGAGACAAAGGAGGTAGACCAAACCAATCTTTCTCTTTCAGTCGTTATTAAATTAACAAGTTCATAAGTGTTTTATACTTTCTTTAATTGATGTCTTGCATGATCATTGAGGATATTAATTTAGAGAAAAGAATATTAGTATTGCATGATCATTAGGTATTAATAGTATTTGTATGAATGATTGGTAATCACAAAGAAATTAAATTTAGAGTTAAACGAAAAAATAACATAAAGAATTGAATGAAAAAACCCATACGTCCTAGATTTCTCTCCTATATGTTCAACCAACATGTGTGTTGTGTTATTTGCTTTTATGTATAATTAATTTTATAACTAAATTCTAGTTCTTACTTAATTTCATATCTCTTAGGCTCAAACAATTAAATTAAAAAATTCTTAGTAATTGGAAATCAATTATTATGGGATGATATTTCGAGAACTTATTTTAGAACCATTTATTACTTTTCGGCAGGTATACTTGCCCTTCAAACACCAAAATTTAAAAATATTTTATTATATTATAAAGCACTTCCTAATATTTTATATTAGATTTGTAATTAAAGGTGCCAAACCAAAATAAGCCTAATAAATTAGACGCATTCAGTTTATAGATAAGCACCAATTTTTTTTTGTTTTCCAAATACATCCATTTGCTAATAGAGTAGTGAGGTTCTGAAAAAATATATTTTCAAAAGCGTAAACATCTAATAGATGAGGCCAAGTACTTAGCAGATTGAGCGAGCTAATTTGTTTTTTGTTTTTCTCTTTTAAGTCCTTTTAAATTCAATAAATTATTTAGAACTATCAAAAAGTTCAACTTGTCAGCCCTAACTAACCCATGTGAGTGATGGTAAAAAAAACCTTATAGAACAAAAGCTTCAAGAAATCAAAAGCTCACAGGACTAAATAGTCCATAAGATTAAGGCCTTATGGACTAAATAATTTTGTCTATAAGTAAAATGATTAACCTAGAAGCCTCTACTCTACATTAGATGATTTCTACAAATTTTTAAAATATAACACAAAAAAAATATTCAAATAGAATCATGCTCACTTTCTTTACTAATCTAAACTCAATTTCAAGGGAAGATTTTCGCACCCAGAATTTGGTTCCCTAGGAACCGAATTCTGAGTTGCTATTTCTTTTTTTTTTTTTAATTTTATTTTTATTATATGTTTTAATATAATAAAATAAATATTATTATTTAAATTATATTTATATATTTATATTTTATTAAAATAAATATTTATAAATATTTTATTAGTTATATATAATAAAATAAGTTTTATTATTTGAATTATGTTTATATTTTTTATATTTAAAAATAAATAAAAATAAAAATAATATTAATTTTAAATATTTATTAAAATTTATTTGACATATTTAAGATAATAAATAATATTTTTGTTTTTATTATTATATTATTTAATATAATTTTGATTTTTTGAAAATGATATTAATATTATATTCTAAAATTATATTTTTAGTTATTTAATATTATATTTATAAAAAAATTAAAATTATAATAATAATTTATTTAATTTTATATATTTATAAATAATAACTAGTTTATTTATTTATTTTGAGATATTAATCTTTATTAAAATTTATACATAATTATTTATTTAAAAAATATGTTATTAATATTAATAAACATAATTAAATAGTATTATGTGGATATATTATATATATAATTATATATTTAACATAAATTACAAATACTAAATATTTAAAAGTTGCAATGACATTCATAAAATTTAAAATGACATTAAGAAAATTTTAAAATAATAACAACAACATAAATTAATGGCGGGAACTAGAAACTTAAGCGATGTTTGGACATGTCTTCCTTGTGTGACCAGGGGTATGACAATAAGAACAATTTTTTGCCCGACTTTGTTATTCTCTAATGTCCATCTCTGTTCTTATTCTACTGGACTTGAGTCGACCTTTTGAATTTCTTTTTAATTCTGGATTTGGAGACAAAGTTGGGCCCGTGTAAGTTGGCCAATAGTCTTCGTGTCTCAGTTCTCCAAACTGACCTTCATATACCTTAGAAACTTGTTGTAAGGTATATACAGGAGATATGTAGATGTCAAAGTTGTTGTGTGTGTGTAAGCATGAAGCAAGTACATGCGAGCATGGGATGTGAACTTTTTGAAACTTGTCACAATCACACCACATTTTATCTAACCGTACTGTAAATCTTCCTACGGGTCAAATTTCTGTCGGATGTTGCATTTCTTCGACTAAAAATCTAGTGCTTGTTCTGTTAAAGGTGATGACTCTATGAGTGTTCGCCTTTGACTGTGCATCTTGAATTGCTTTAGTTGCAACCTCTGAGTATATATGTCTAGCATTAATCATTGCATCTACTTCCTTGCTTCTGTCAATGAAGAACTTATTGTAACGGGTGTATGTTGCCATAACCATGGAACAAATTGGTAGGATTCTGGTTTTCTTCAAGACCTAATTGATTGATTCTGCTAGGTTTGTTGTCATATGTTCTCAACGTCGTCTGTTATCCTATGCCAATGTCTATTTTTCCCTTGGGATGTTGTTCAACCATTGTGCAACTTTAGGATTATTATCTTTTACTATGTTGTAATAGTAAAAGAATCTCGGTTTAGTCATCCCATATGCTGGAAACAAGATTACAAATTAAATTAATATAACTAGTTAAGCAATTGTATAAAATATTAATGATAATATAGAGTACTAAAAAAAATAAAATTACTCATATTGACGACATCTTTTTTCAGTGTAGCATTTTTGAATCGTCGCATGAAGTTTTGTGCAATGTGTCTAATGTAATAGACATGGACATAATTGTTTTCTGTCCAACCACTTTCACTTCTGGAGTATGCACTTTTTATGGTCTCGTAACGATCTGAAATGAGGCACAACCCCTCTTGCGGGGTTACGTACCTCCTTAAGTTTTTTTTAAAAAAAGAACCATGCATCGGTGATTTCACCTTCAACCACAGCAAAGGCAATGAGAATTATGTTGTTGCAGTCGTCTT